GTAAACTCCAAGTTGATCGGATACGTTTTCAACTCAACAGGAATCTTAATTCTCTCTTACTCGTCTCTAATATTTTTTGATTTATTCAAACAGTCCCACAGAGCACATCTCAAAGAGGAAAAAGAGTGGCAAACAGGCTCGCTTTCTGATTTGTACAGTGAATTTACTCTCCACTTGGGTCACAACGCAACTCGATCTGCCACGGTGTTGGGGTTTTGTAATCTAGATAAATTTTCCTGTTTGAATAGAATTCCTGATAGTACGGAATAGTGCATATGCACCTCTCTGAACATATCTTTCCTCAACAAGTTAATTACTTTTTCTCCTTCTACCTACAGATTTTTATCTCAATATGATTCATTTTTCCACTAGTTTGAATAGTATATGTAAAATGCAAAATTTCATTGGTAGTATGTCAAACACCGATAAGTGGAAAAGCTTTATCCACATCCAAAAATTCATGCTCCTGAGAAAAAACATATCGCTAAGTATTTATTCAGCTACACCAACATGAAGGTGGAAATTACTCCCTTGTGTTCATATGCTTATTGCGTATATAAATTTAGGAAGTTTTGAGGACAGAATCTAATGGTTGCTACTCGAGTTTTCTCAGCCTCATTTGTGATGGGGTGCATTTTCAAGACATTGTCAATGTACTGGACAAAGTACATTGAGTAATTTCGCGTACCACATATGATTGAAGCCCAACAGTGTTGCAGTCAGAGTCAGAGTAAGTGGCTCGATTCACGTCCCCCATATTGATCTCAGTAAGTTGGACTGTACTCATGGTTTACTGCGCGCGGATCAAACGGGCTCAGAACTCTAATAACTAAGTGCACATCTGTGGATTTCAATCTTCAGGAATTCGTTTGCTTCTTTCTTAATCCCCTGTAAATTTCGGTAGTTCACAGTTCTCGTATACAAGAGAGAACCATTGAAAGTAAAGTCCGGAGTATGATCAATCGATCAAAAAGGGTTTTGAATGTTTGACAGAATGACTCATTGCTGTATCACTGCACGTTCGAGCAAACGAATCACAATGCAAACCACTGGTCTAGACATTTTACCTCACATTTGAAAGCGTGAACTGACTGCGACAGTGGTAGTACACATAAGCCTTCCTTACAGGGAGTCCCTAGTTCAATTTCCTGACAAGAATGTGACGAATTTTAATGTGAGAGCAACTCTACCCTGGAGCCTCTTGAGAGTAGATGTAACTGTACGAGACAAGATTGTTAGGAAAGAGAGCACGACGGATTTTGAGCCTAATTAATTTGACTTCCCCACATACCGATTAACACGTAAGTGTGAGTTTATTGTTCCCCCTCCCCACACACACAATGCATCAATAAGAGGTAGTACCTTTTCTCGGAGACTGGAACCAGCAGCATACAGAAAGCTTCACATGCTTTTCGCTAATGTTATAGCTAATCTTTTACCTGACAAACGCAATCAGTAAGAGGTTTATTTCAGCGGAATAACCTTGCAGCCACAGGAAAGAAGCTGTACTTCTTGGTGTTCGATACGTTTGCTTAGATTGTTTGTTCCGATCGAATGGATCAATCTGTGAAAATCAATCGATCACTAAATTTGTATCCTGATTAAAATAATCCCGTATCTATGAAGCGGCTAAACACCGATGGTCTCTGTTCAAGGCCCTGCAAATCTTTTTAAATGTTTAAATATATTAAAAGTGCCAGGGATGATAACGAATGTGTAAAATATTGTAAGCGAATTTTTAAAATGCATTTCACGGTGAATTTATTGTCTTTTGTGAAACAGGCAAAATAAACAGTGGGAAAATTTTCCATAATAATCATCTCACTTACCTGGAAAATTCGATAGGTTGTTGTGATAAGCCCGTGACCACCGGATAATCGGTCCACTTCAAAAATATCAATACCCCACGTATCCAGATATTGTGTGAAACGCTATTTGAAAGTAACGAGTATGACAGGAGCAAAGCGTCGGCGGAGAGGAGCAGGGGTGGGAGATGCAGTGTTTCGGTTTAGAGTGAAGTGCTTTGTTTGTAGCATTTGTCTATAGATTCAGACTGCATGCTGTGCCTGTCAAACAAGTCTTGATACAAGCATTTTTAGGAACAAAGAAACCAACGCATGATTTGTTTGTGGACACAATGATGTTCGATTGTTCAAGCCTAAAATTCTGCTTCGCCTAGAGAATCACAACGGGTGCTTTACCTAACCGGAACATTTTCCGCAAACCGTTTACAGTCAACGTGCAATTAAGGTTCTTCAAGCAATACGTATGTCAATCGAAATTAAGATAAGACCAATGATACACATAGACTGTACGGTATCTTATTTTTGTGCACTTGAGCTCTAGTAGTTGTGCCATTTTTCAATGCCCGAAGTAAGTTTAATGATATGACGGATTCAAACTTAAAATGTCCACCCCGACACAAGACATTTGGTGCGGAAACCACAATGATGAATTCAACAGAAATTACAAAAAGGGCAGAAAAAGACATGCCTGATGGATCGCGCATTGTTATTCGAGGAACGGATGCAACTGGACGAATCGTTATCAACAGAACAAATGAATTTTATGCACGGAAGATAACGACAAATTGGCGTTCTTAGATCAGGTCTTCAACACACGTGATTGGTTTTCACTTATTAACTCGACAGAAGACGTTGTGTGGATCACCTTAGATGCACTGCCTACCGTGTATCTAGGGTATCTAACCCTTTTAAGCTGCATCAGGTATCATCACTGTCTCTCTCACACATGCGCTTGGTATGACCGAAAACTGACAGCGCATGCGATTCATCCCCTACTGACCAGCTGCAAACATTTTGGCGAATTGTTTAAATTTTTATTTGGCTGATGAAAGCCTTATGCTGAAGGCCTCGAGGGGGGGGGGGTCTTACGCCCAATCACCTGAGTTTATATGCTACCGGGTGTATGCTGTATGTCTCTCTAAATTTGACGGGCGACTAGAATGTAAAAAGGTCAATGCTATCCGTGTGGCCTATTAGCTCAGTTGGTAGAGCGTGCACTATTTACATTATTGAACGTTGTCTATCAACCAGAATATGCGAACCCGTCCCCAAACACCTTGGTCTTGTTCTTTGAAAGTCGTCATCGAGTGCAAATGCACGGCATGTGGTGCACTCCGATCACCAATTTGACACGAAAAGAACGTTTCGTGTCATTAAGACACCTCGAAATTCGCGGACTGTGAGTAAGGAAGCAATAATTACCCATCGCTTGAAACCGCAATTATATGTTCAAAGTGCATTCATGGAGCAACATTTGTTTCTTTAGCAGTGATTACGTCACGCTTAATGCAGCCCAACCATGACGTTTCCTTTCACTTCCTCCAACATATTCACCATATTGTTTGAATCAGTTCAATTTCACATCGTGTTTTGTCATCTAAATTGACCTAAACCCGTAACCAAACCCAGATCACGCAACTCCCTAGTCTACCACCTTGCTTAAATAACTCATTTCAACTCCAGTGTTTCTTGGTTTGCCATGATCATATTATTGTGTGTTTACAGCTGAATGGGAGCACACGAAATCGGTGTTCAACATCCATTCTACTCACACATGCTCTCATGTATTGTTATTGTATTGTTTACCACGAAACTGCAGTAGGGAAAAGCAACACGAATCGAAAATGGACTATCGATGGAACCGAGCAATTCCCATGATAATATCACAAAATTGCTTCGGATTGATTTTACACAAAGCATCGCGTCAAACCTCCTCCCCATACTCTGCATCATTTGCCACGTTTTCTTTGGCAGTAAGTTTCCTTTTTCCTCTCCACTACCCCTTCCGATTGTGCGCATGAAGCATAGTTTCTAGTGTATCTTACTTAGCACCNCGCCTCATTTCGTAACTTATATCACTATTTTAATGAGACCATCTCTCTTCCGTTATTTCGCTTGACATTGGTTCTCCTATCCCTTCTGCGACTCTAGCTTCAACTACTACTACTACCTTTGTCACATCAGCTCACCCTGCTTGCTCGATTCTATCATTGTTATAGATTGAACCGTACCTAGATATCTATGATTACCCTATATGTGTAACCACTTGATGCAATCCATCGAATTGAAATTTCTTTTCGAACTCGATGCTTCCCACATACGCAGTAGTATCGGGAGAAAAAATGTGTGGGAGGGCGGTCACTGATGCGAGCGTTAATGCTATTGGTGAATCATTTACTGTTTTCCAGTTATGAAGGTCAAACTTTAAACACAAAAGGCGAATTGTTCCGTAGAAGAATCGGTCATCGAGGATACATATATAATGTTAGACACATTATATAGTTAGGATGTTGCATTCACCTGGCCTGTGCAGAAATCCAACCACCCCAATCGGAGAGGGGGCTTACACCACTCACTGTGTTTGCGTTAGTTCACTCCTAGACGAAATTTGAGCCCAAATGAATAAGAATGAGAATACGCTGGTAAAAGTGAGCTAGATAATGAGCGTTTTCCCGAACAGATGACCTCAAGTCACGGAAGGGGATATACAGAGAACAAGTATAAGAAGCATTTCGTTCAGTCGTCGTTCGTTGGGATAAATCTAGTGAAATACGATCGATTCATACTACTCACAGATCGTGTAACTGAGAACGACTGAGTTCCGTATTTTGTGAAAACATATACTGATGAGTAATTCATTTGAATTTCGCCTTAATTATGATAATAGTCTGATATTTGTTTCCTTGTTTAATCGGTCGCAACGAGGTTAAATCAGCATCAGGTTGTTAGCATGCAAACGTTTGTTTCCAAATGAACGTTCTTCATCAAATCATATGAGTTCCCCCTTTTTACATTACTTCACATAAACAATGTGTACCTGAACTCGCTTATATGCATCGATCTGTTTGAGACTCGTTCTTTTTAACCTCAACAGGAAAAGTTCAATATCTTGCTACATTCTGGCAATTTCACCAACATACGAACCATGAATTCCATCGACAACGATGACTCCTCAACTCCGAACTATCGATCTGATTAGGAACACNATGCGCCTGCAGTTTTACCTGTTTGTTGTAAACTGGACGAACTGTCAATCGAATCCATTCCAGCCGGTTTTGTGGATGCGCCAGCACCCGGTGTGGTCGAAAGCGAGGCTTGACCATCTTTTTCATTGCTGTGAATCGATGACCGATTTTGTTGTTGTTGTTGTTGTTGCTGTTGCTGTTGCTGATGTTGCGCTTGCATTCTACCACCGGGAGTCAAAACCTGACCATCCTGAGCGGTTCCACTCGAACCGTGTGATTGTCCACTGCTACGCCGACGTTCTAGCATTTGTTCGATTTCTTGGTCAGCTTGCGCATCTTTCTCATCTTCTACGATGCAAACCGAGGAGGAATGAAACAGAGCAGATGCATATACATTGGTTATGATTTTGACGACCGACTGAAGCACACGTTTGGGTGCTTTTGTAATATTTGAATTAGTGTAAATTGGACCGGCGTTCACAGTAGCGATACGAGTATAACGTTCACAGAGATCAGTGAATCCATATCTATGCAAATCCTGTTGATCAAGATGTCAAAATGTATTCTATTTCCCGCGCCTGACAGGTTGACGCCTAACTGACGACTAACAGACGGAGAAATGATACATTCGACGGAGGATCTTATTCGAGAGCCACAAAGAAACCCGTGGGGTTTCCGATTTTCGCGAACGCGAATCAGCTGATTGCAGCATATTAAATAGGTTGATCAATCGGTTACAATCACAAAAAAGCAAGTTTTATTACACGACTATAGCATCAAGGTAGGCACAAAACTACGATCAATTCATAATATTTCGTCAAGTTAATGAAATTCGAACCCCGTACACACAAATTTACACGAAAAAACATGCTAATTCGGCGAAGTCAGATCGCAAGCGTTGTTTGACTACATTGCATCATTCTTCGTAATAAGTTAACGCACAGCACATTCCTATCCTCCTTGGTTGTTACACAGCCAATGAATTTTGTTCACGTTTAGCAGTGATCGCATCGAATATCGTGACTTATTCGATACGTTAGCTTTGTTAATTTCAAGGGTAATTGTCTTCCGTCTGACCATCCTACAAAGATGTCTCACTGGGGTCGCATGATAACCAACATGTTGGTCAGTGCGAAAACGATCGAACTCTTTTTTTTTAAGAGCCAGTGTCCAGTGCCCAGTAGCCAAGTTACGGAAATCCCCGTGAGTTTGGTCATTGACCATAAGAACGACTAATTGGATAACATTTGATCAACGAAGGTTTTGTAGACCTACGGAGCGGAGAAAAATCTAGCCTCTCATGACTTTTTCACAATTCTTGATCATAACACACGTGCTCGCCTGATTTTGATATTGATAGCGAAACCCGATCGTTCTATTGCGAGCATCACATGCAGCTAGGCTGTGGTTCATTAAAACGGATATTGCGGATTAACTTCATCTGCACTATTGAGCTCACCCTCGATCCCAGATCACTCGAAAATTGTATAACAACAAGCTACAAGAAAAATATTACACGTCTACAGTACGGTGTGTATACGGTTAGCAAAGCAAAGGATATAGTCGTGAACATGTATGCTATCCTTAGCAACCGACCAATGATACTGATGACCTATGGGGACAGAAGATGAAAGATGTGAAAAGGTGGAATTACAGAAACAAGGAGCAATGACTTTCGTTCCAGATAGACCTGAGTAACCATATCAGAGTTCTTGTCTGAGAGAACAATATTTTCCCCCTTTTGACCAGATAGCTCTACACAATCAAGTGACCAAAAGGTTAAGGAAAATTGCAAGAGCTATAGTATCATTTGCCGCCCAAAACATTAGACTTCAAACCTACCAAGGAACGTGCCACAAATGTACGCAGAAATTTCGTGCCTGGATTTGTCAGCTTCGCCGAAACTGTTCAGTTCTTTGTTCAGGAGCCGTTTGAACTACAATCAAATTAATATGTCATTGTGGACGCAGTGTGTGTGTTCGTTGAACAGAACAGGGAATAGGAGAGAGAGAGAGCAAATAATAAATGAGTACTCGAGAAGAAAAAGCGGGAGAATCATAGTTTTGTGAGGTGTAGATCAAATAAAAAAATTCTTGCGGGTATACTGAGGATAGGGTTTGATGAAGTCGACCGCGTTTCACACCGAATTCTCTAAACTAGTTCATGGTGAAAAACCATTTATAAAAACGATTATTTTTGTCCAACAATCCACAGATATCCAATGTCATGCGAGGTTATTCATTAAAGATCATCTCTAATAACAAATGAGAGTCGGTACTAAATGTGTAAACGTACTGTATAGCTATTTCAAAAGATCTGGGTTTAGTTGATACCCCCAACACGTCCTCAAAACTCCTGTAAATCAAAAGTAGAACTTTCTATAGTTCTAAGACAGCAAACATTCTTCATCGGCACTAGGGCGTTACCGAAGCCGAATTGAGCATGGTCCGTGGCATACAACACGGATGGCAACCTAGTGGAGAACATGTAGGACATCCTCACCCGAAGGCTGAATCACATTTCGAGAATATATAAAACGGAAGGGTGAATTAAACGCTACCCGAAAATGAGACTGTGTATCGACCATATGGAGTTCTGCAAAATCACAGATGGTAAGCAAAACGCTATACTGAGATACTGGAACGGAACGGTCGCTCTACGCAGAACTAATGTGCTTTATTTGTATTGAGGATGGATTACGTTTTTGCAGCTATTTAGATGGTATTTAGATTTTATGGGATGCACAAATTTCATATCTAGGCCCTTTATCCAATACTGCATCAATACACAAATATAGTTGTTGTGTTGCTCTCAGAAAAGGGGATATTGTGTAAACCTCGGGGATGAGAAACTCCTGTCGCATGATGGTGACGGTGGCGATGGCGTGTGAGCTCAGAACTTTCGGATCGATAGAACTTTGGCCTTTACGGTTCACCTTCGATGACTAGGATACTCGATCCTCGAATTTCTTTTCATTTGAAGTAAACGACAAATTTCTTCCCCCAAAATTTCCGTTCTGCAGTTACTAAACAAAATCTAGTGTTAAGTGATCATGCGCATATATTGAACCAAACTCCACATCATTGTAAGGGTTTGCTTGACAGTGGCGCAGTCAGACCTAAGGTGATATTGAGAACCCCTGCGTGCCTGGTGATGGCCGTGGTTATGGTGCCGGTGGTGGTGATTTCAGCATGCGCGCTTGCGTGCACTTCACCTGCCAAGGTCAGTGAGTAATCAAACATACAGTTGACCATAATGAATCGCGAATGCCAATCAGCGTTCTCGGTTGGGCTGATTAAGTGTACCTTCAATGAAGCACTATGATCGTATCAATGGAGGGCAGGTATTGAGGAAAGTAAGTAAAAATCAAGGTACGAACAGTGCGTGCTATTGACCAAATAAGTGAGAGCAGTTATTCGCTAAACTCATTTGTGTTAAGCAGCTCCACTGTCGGCCGGCGAAATACAAATTCTTTCCCGTCGGAACCTTATGTGCTGCTCAACGCTACACCTCTCAGAGCTAAAGTTGTCTTCTTTTAAGAAACAGTTCAATACGCGTTATACACCATTGCACACGCTGTCCGATTTAGTTCATCAACATCCACAGTCTGAATTGAAATTTTATTTCTGTTTAGCACTGTCGTGAAGCAACTTTCGACGTTATTCTTTTCTTTCTGTTTGTAATTTTCATTTTTTTAAAGAACAATTTGCATCATATCTCTAAAACACTATAGTTGCATATTTCGTCGTGTTCCCAAAATCTCTCCTCGTTTTGCATTTGGTGTTTTTTTAGTGCACATTGAAAATATCTTGCAATAACATCTCGACGTCTTGAACAAAAATGATTTCAATGTTCACAAACGTGGCTGATTAGCACACTTCAAAACAAACGAAATTACGGATATTGAGGCAAAAGCACTACCCGTCATAAATAGAAAACGCTGTTTGGAGCAAGACTAAGAAAACTCGTAAACCGGTTGCCAGTTTGCCGTTCGTTATGGTCTTTTTACAAACCAGTTTCCCGTAACTTTATCCCGTCTTTCCTTCTCACACTTGATAACTCTTCTGATGATTTGTTTCCCAATCCTTTTAAAAAGACTGAGGTATCTGCCAACTTTATTGCTTCCATTACTAACGTACTTGCATCCACCATTCTCCTTTTACCATTAATCAATACAGTCTGACAGTTGTACGCAAGTAATAACAGGAATATACCTCTAGCACGGTGTTCGCTTGATGCATCCAAGTAAACCGGCTCGCATAGTATACCAGGAATTGGACTTAAGACGTGCGCATCAGAATTTGCCCTGTTCCCTGGTCTATTCTCTCTCAGTCTTTCTCCCCGGATCTTGTGCCTAGCTTTTCGGGAACTGCTCAAGTCTGACACGTCGCCAATATAGGGGCCTACAAAGACCCCCAAATATTATCGTCTCATGAATCCAACACCCTCTAGTCTTCTGCTAATGTTATTGCATCAGTGATTGCAGACCAACTTTTCTGCTTTTTGGAGAGCTGAGAGATTCGTAACAACCACCACCACTGCTGCCACAGATCCACTGGTGACTCGTTACCATCATCACAGAGGTGGTCAGCCGACCTTGATCTCCCAGGATATCTCCAAGGCCGTTGACAGACTGTAGCATGAATTCCTTCTTGGGAAGCTTCACAAGTTTGGTGACTTATCGGTTATCAGTATTTGGATACGAAGTCTCTGCTGCAATGTTTATTATCGGTTCGTGTGGATGAATCACAGCAATCCTACTGAACTCCGACCAATGTTCCGTGCTTTCCTAGTGAATACATTCTTTGCTTCGTGGACACTATTTCACCCGGGACTGTAAACCAATGCTCCGTCACTGATATCACTACATTATTTTGTTTACAACACCCCTGTTCGATAGTTCCTCCAAGATTAATGGTATGTCTAAGTTTTACTCAATTTAGACCGGAGTGCCATCACTACCGGGTCACTAGTCACCTTCAGACCTCTCGCATAGATGTGTCCCACAAACCCTATCCCTGTGCTTTCAGTCTGCAGTTGGACTGTGGTTGGCTTTGATCAAGATCGTTATGCTCGGCCTCGAATGTTCCTCTTCCATAGGACTGTCTTGTTCAACTTGCGTTGAGTGCACATGATTACACACGATTAAAATATAGGTGCTAGAATAAAACGCATAGTTTGTGTCTGATTTAGAGGTGGCTCTTTTGAAAGTGTTCAAAACGGAAACTGCAATCTCTAATAGCTCAAGTACATACTGCTTGGTAGGGGAGATGTGCACAATGGTTTGTTATGTTCATTTCACTATTTTTCTGGGAATATGAAAAACAAAACGAGGTGAACACAGTTGGTGTAAATTCTGGGTAAATTTTGTGCAAATGCCTTTGCACGTTTGGCACACATTGACAAGCTGAAAACTTGTCAGTCCAATATGGTCGATTGAGAGACGACCAGTTTTGACCAGAGAGCTCTTCGGTGTCCTTTAAATAACCATGTTCGAAGGAGCGATTCCTGGATAGCAATTTTCATGGTCAGGTTATGCAATGTGTTTACGATCATAGATATAAGGCGTACTGTGGTGAGAAGCAAACGTCCGACCTATCGGACGGGTCTCCCTCAAAACTTAAACCGCTTGACCCCGACCGCTCAAATACCGGATCCACTGGCCGTGTATGCATCAAGGATCAAAGTTAAGACAGGATGCAAAAGTACCGCACAGATGCATCCGGCCACAGCGCAATCGTCGAGATTAGGGTCAAACGGAATAAGGCAATCCAGTCACAAATTCGTTTCACATAGGTGTGGATGATAAGTGCGTGTAACTTGCAGAAAACGAGTTATGGAGAAATGGGATTAACTAAATATTGGAATTTATCAATAGGCGAGACTTTATTTGTATTATTGTCACCTGTTTGGTGGACGGATTATCATATCATATGAATCGAAGCTGCGGCCAAACGAGAAAATTACAAATAACAAAAATAGATCATTAATCTTAAGCGGAACAGAAGGCTTCAAATTTATCACTCGCTGATGATTTGTCTCATCCAGATGAAGTAACAATGATTCTATTGTCAGATTCGTTTATTCTCCATGTTGTCAAACTAAACCTTTTCCTTTAAAGTTTAGCCAAAAAACCCGTAGTTCTCCAGCCTCGACCCACAGTCCTTAATTCAAAATCAGCAATCCTCTGGTCACGTCCCGTAGGCCTTTAGCTTTGGCGTACAAACTTTAGTCATTCCACTGTGGGCGAGTCAAAAAGCAACAAAATCAAAAATATCGGAATATTCTGAAATCAACGATTGTTGAAACATTTTATTTTTTACAGATGTTGATATTTCTCAGCTTGATAAAGAAATGATTGGTAACGTTTGGTTTGATAGTTCGACAGTTCATGTATATCCTGAGCAAGAAGAAGTTGATTATCTGCAAGTTGCACGCAAATTGTGCGAAGTGTCTTGTAATTCTTTCGAAATATAGTTTGTTCATTTCAAGACCACTTTGTCATTGCGGTGACTGGGTTACCGTTATCTGAGTTTTCAATTGTATATTGTTGGGACATACATTTGAGTTGTTGTGTTGTTCTTTTTCACCCACGCACACACACAGGTGTTCCCAATAACCAACAGCTTTTGTGCATTTCCCTGCCCAACATATTCCGTTTGTTACTTAGATATTTAGACCTAATATAATTATATGTTATATCCTTATAGTTATGAACGAACAGTGGTAAGGTTTTGGGAAAGATACACAGAATGACATGTGTAAAACACTAGTCAAATCAGCATTTAATCAGTCAAATATATTGATCATTCTTAGGTGTTGAATTTAAGGAACATATAAGTGAGTAATAATATCGAAATAAAATGTTTCCGTGGTGATACGAACACGCATGGTCTTAAACTCTTTGTGGCATGCTTGGAAGTGTGTCTCTCCCCCCCCCCTATACCCGAGTGTAAGTGGACGCATATGCCTCGACACACTTTGTCAGCTATTTTGTAGTAATTCGGCTTCAACAAGGCAAGTAGAACAAAGCAAGTCATCGAAAGGATGTGCGCATAAACATCAAAATATTGTATCTGTTCGTTTCGTTGTTCTTGCTTATTTATCCGCTTATTTACGTCTCCGGATGGCTAAACCGAAACGGGTGATTGCCATGATTTTATCTGTCTGGTCGTGTATTCGAGCAAACGCTGCAAAAGATCAGCTAGTTTCTCATGACTTTTTCTCGGATCAACACGAAGCAACGAGATTTTGTTTTTAAGAGTGGAAAAAGTGTTCTGTCAACTGTGGATGAATATCATAGACACGATCAGAGACTAAATAGTTCATCCGGAACACGGTTTGCTTACTTTGGAGAAAGCCATGTCGGACACGGGGCGTTTGGTTTGAATGTTCTCCAGCTGTTTCAAGCACCATTCCAATTCTTCGAGTGTCTCACTGGCCACCGATTTGTATTCTTGGGCTGGTTAACACAATTGCAAAAGGAAATTGATTGGCGTAATTACGTTAGACGAACAGTAAAGCCGACGTGGTGTTTTCGTGAAGTAAAGTATATCGACGATCATTTTTAAAGAAAGTGACCTTGCATGGACAATTAAAAAAACACGTCAAGTTGAACGAAATAAAAGAAAACCGGGAAACCAAATCGCAGTAAGTTTATTTTCCCTTCTCCGGTGCATGGATAATTGCATTTTACGCTAAATCGATTATGAAAGGCTGCCTGATGGGGTCACATCAGGACAAGGTCAGTTCGGAGTGTGATATGCTTGCATTTAACGGCTTTTTGAAAATTGTATCATTTTTCCTCTTTCACATGACTTGTCTGAACAACCGGAAAGAAATAGATTCACAATGGCCTGCAATATTTTTGGTAGAAGACCTCAAGTGGATGAAACAATTGGTAATGTTACACACGTCCGTTTTTTCTATAACCAGTTTCTGTTGAGTTATTCATTAGTCGCAAATCTTAAGATCTTACTTTTTCTGAAATGAATCCTTAAAGATTTGCAAGATGGCAACCATCTTTACACCACTACTTTTTGAGTGAACTAAAGATTGGTGCTGCAGATGAGCCCTCCAAATTAGTTAGGATAAACAAAATGTTGATGGGACGATGAATTCAAACATATACTTTACCTACGTGATTGATCACTAAACTCAAACGAATGTTCCATAGTGCAACACTGTTGGTAGGAGAAATTTATTCGCGGTCGGGTATCCGATAGATACAAATTCAAGTCTCTTATATGCCGAATTCGGAACGGCGATGAGGTTACGCAAAGTGAAATGATGATCTGTTCATTTACGAACCTCAAAAATCGAGATGATCCTCAACCAATTGGAAAATGGATTAACCCAAAACAAGTCAGCATTATTCATGTACGAGCTCCATTCAAACCGAGAATGGTGAAGCACTGGAGTCCTTTTTCAATCAGTGTTACACCACTTTGCTATTGTCCGACTCAATATCACACCTATCCTATGCTTTACGTCAATACAAGCCTTCACGGATCAGATTGCCGGTTATCAGGATTGAAAATCGGATCCTCATGACCATAGGGTTTACTTGTTCTGTACATCACACCATTATGGGAATAAAAAGTCGAATCGGAGTCGCAATAGAAGTATCAGCTGTCTGCATCTAACTGTTCTGGTAAGGTTTTCAATGAAACTTGGTGTGTTTGTGGTGCAGCAACCAACTAATACACAAATGCTGTTTTTAAGGAAAACATCACATCTTGCATGCCAAAAAAGGGAACAAATACATCGCAGTTGTTTGTAAACAGAGGGTACATGAAACTAACCAGAATGAAGTTATGAAAGAAAACAGTATACCTCCATTCACTCAGCACTAAAGACCGATAAAAATGAGAAGGAGGCAGAGTTACCAGCATGTTTGCCGCTATTTGAACTGAAGCACCACCAAGCGGCCTTAGGTAATATCTTTCGTATTAGACGGCTTTAGGAAAGGTTTAAATATAAAGCCCGTTAGATCTTTACCTCCTTCCTTCACCCTCCGTGCAGAGGACGTTTTATTTAGCTTACGGTTTCACTGAGACAAACTCAAGTGAAAATAATTTACCTCTGGTGAAACGCTGTTTGAATTTTTATTATGTTTGATTCAGTGAAGCTGAGAAGCGATCTTCAAATACCTCTCCCTAAAAAGTCGCGGAACAGTAATCTAAAATAATTCATAATTTTCCATCACGAACTAATAGGAAGTAAGTTTGACAAAGTGGAAAGATTATGTGGAGCAAATCATAAAAGCTGACTGTGAGAAACCTGAAAACAGCTGTTCCAATTTTACCGTATTAATGTCCGTACTCTTCGATTGCACTAAGCCTTCTCCCAGGTATCCGTGGACGATAAAAATTGACGGAACGTTGCCAAAAAAAAAACAATCGCGTAAAAGCAATTATTCCTTATTCACGTTTTTCATTCTTGACTCCCATCAGCCTAGGATATCGATTTTCTTTTTTTTGTTTAAAATACCTGGACAGCTCCGCGTTGTGTTTCACATACTTGAACAATCACACACCGGTCCCTTGGGACAGGTTGCGGTGGCAGTTCCGTTGCCCGATCATTGATCAGTAACTGAATATTGGTCATTTGATTTTCGAACCGATTGCCTTTTTCAGATAGATAAATAAATAACACCAAGAGGTTATCCACTGTATTTGTTTTATTATTAATAGCCCCAGAGTAACCTCATCGGAAGTTAGGTTGTTGTTAGATTGTTAGTTAGGTTGATAGCGTAAACTGCGCTAAGACGTGCACATCCCACGGAGTGGTTCACAGAAATATTCCTACTAGTCGAGTGGATAACAAACATTCATGTTCACCAAGACAGAACACAAACTTCAATCGGGGCACACTAAAGTTGTTGTCTGCCTAAGATGCTAATACTAGCCGGTAATTCTAAGCTTTCCAGTTTGCTAATTCGCTGAGCTGCCATGTCACCTTAGTGTGAAATAAAGCCTATCTTCTTGTGTTTCTAGCGGCCAATACAGCCGTTCGGTTATTTTGAAAAACCTCTTTGTGACAAAAATGGATTAACAATTAACTGTTCAGTCTAGGGAAATCAGAGTAAAATACGGTCGTTTCATTTGTGCATAGCCCTTGGCTCTTAATCGATCAATGCAGAATGCCTACGTATATTGCAAATGTTAATATTTGGTTTGTTCCCTTCAGTCGCTTACTTATAAGAGAAAAATTGAAATTAAAACGACATTTGATTTTCGTGCATCTTGTTATCTGCATCTGAAACCCCGGTATTGTATGAGAGGAGGGGGAAAGGAGAGGATGGTGATTTAATTGGAATTCGGGCCAACGACAAAGAACAAACAACGATATCAGTCTGCTCCCGCTCTGAGTCATGATCCAAACGTTAGGCTGTGTGTGTGTGCAGTTTTTGGCACAGGCTACACCGAGCCCGGTATCGGTAGACTTGCTTGTGCATATGGACTCATCCGAAAACACTGTTACCATACAAATCTTCCATTTGATAGCGTGTTGTTTCACCTCCTCCATCTTTGCTGTGTCCGACTCTAATGTGATCGACTATTTGCAGTACTACTGGAACCATCACTGAAATTCCACAAACTTTATCACAAATATGAGAAGAATATTTATATTTGCTTATCAGTTACGAATCCGTTAGGCAAAATCACGCACGGACGTTTATACCGATGAAACCAAACGTTTACCATTTTAACTTTTAACATTTTTTTATTCGACTAGTGGGGTTTAACATTAGCCGTACAACGTCTGCTTGTTGACCCAAAAATTCACAGCCATCGGAACAAGGCAAAGGAGGAAAGTCACCGGAGATCGACGCAAATCATTAGATCAACAGAGATGTGTTTGAGAAGAGTGATGAAAGAACGAGATTTCCCGATGGAAACAAACCGAAACTCCCAACTGAGATATTTCTCCGCGTTGTGAACCAGTCAATCATAGCTGTTATGTAACCACACATGTCTACCGAGAACAAAGCTCCACCGTCCATCTCCTATTACACCGGAACTACTTTTGGGCAAAACAAAAATCAGTTGCAAACGAACGTCAATCAGGCTATTCCAACCCTATGGAAATTCGCCCCTCGTCCAATCGCTCTGCGTTTTACCTAGAACAATCCTAGTCCAAAACTCGTCTCTCGTTATTCGATTTCAGTTTTCTCCAACTACGTCTCTGAAACAACAGGTAGATGCCTTTCAACACAAATCTGAAGTCTACCGTGTGTTGCGTCTGCACATACACGATATGCTTGATCCTATCACAACAGAGCCGCTTGGAAAGCTCTATGTAACAAACATTTATGGTGTTGGTTTTCATGCTGTCTGACATTGAAAAATAGAGACTGATGGGATTGGGTTCCACGATTGGTGCACGTCCATGTATCTGAAAAGTGTGTATGCTCTATCAGCTGAGCTATCCAAAAGCTCTGCGCATAGAACATATCTGTACATAACAGTTTGTCGAGGGCATCAAAGGAAACATTCGATCTGAAATATATGCACCAGCGAAAATAAGTGAGACCAACTGCACTTTAAAAAACTTTGTCAATTAATCATTGGTCCGAGAGATTCTCTTTTTGTTTGAATTATTTATTGAGTTCCAAAGAGATAATCCACTTAACTATCTTTTCTTTCAATTACCCTCTACCTTCCTCTATTTATCAAAAAGTCGATTTGTTCATGCCAATAAAAATGTTAGTGACAGTGGTTATGAAAACGACAAGTGTATTCTAATCGGTGGTGTATAGTTCTCAATGGCGGTAACGTAGACCGGGTGAATGTGCTGTGTGGAGGTTTAGCAATTCCATAATTCGATTCACAGGTGCACGGGATGCACGGGGCACACGAATACACAAACGGCAGTCATTCTAATTCCCACCTGCGGGTAAGAATGTCAATAAGGATGTGCCTAATGCGCTTCGTTACATTTTGATCCCCTTGAATGTTTTCCACCGTCATAAGTTCACTCGGTTGTTAGGGTGGATCCTCGTGGTATTCATAAACCGTAATTACAACCTGGAGTATTGATGCTTAATCAATCCATAATCAATCAGGGTAGCCACACCACAAGAAATGACTAGCTTCCTTGAATCCATGGAATCTTACCTGTGCTTTTCAAAATCTTCCATACTCACCTCATAGAATCCACAGTGATTCATCTGGAACTTTAAGAAACCTGGAATAGGTAAATTTGGACGTGAAGAGAATCCACTAGAATTTATTATCCACATGTCATCCGTGGCTAAGCTAATAACCGGTTCATTGTAACCGGTGGCTAGTCAGTTACTCCATCGTTACATTCAGATGCTGAGTTCTTTTCATCGTGGTATAGCTTAAACGGTTAAAAGCGAGGATTAGCAAACCTCACAGTAATGAGAACCAGTTGTTCATTTGTAAGGTAACCAGTAGCCTAGATTCCGAAACTTTCACAGCGGATTAACTACAC